TATGTACCTGTGCTCCATCAGTAATCTCAACAATCTTTCACTTCCCCTTGGCTAAATTTGAAGATTAAGAAACATGGCAAAGTTCACGAGGGAGGTGCAGGAAATCAAGTGAATCTTGGATACGTTAACCTGTAAATTTTGAGTGTCCCTTGTCAGGACACCTTAAAATCCATTGATTTCAAACATCTCAGTTCTGTGAGTGACCAGGATTCACAACTACCTCTGTGGTTTTTTCGCCCTAGTAATACATGGACTGCCTGAAATTAAATAGAATTTGCTTTCTGTGTCTTCCTTTCTCCTCCAGAAATTTGGCCCTGAACTATATGGCAAATACAGGAATAATGTTCAAAATAGAATTGTAATGCATTTGGCTAAAAAGAGGAAAGAATAGGTATGCCTAATAATGCCTACAACATATTTATTTCTTCTCTCTTCGTGGGAGGCAGCAACCCCGTTCGTGGTTCTGAAAAGATTCTGCATTTTTTCGTAATGTTAATAAATTGTGAAAATAGGTTGATTACAATAATGTTTTGTCTGGGCAGGTCTTGACATTGTTTACTGTAATTATTAGGTTTAAGGAAAGAGGGCAGGAAGATGCATTAGGAAAGAGTAAGTCTCTCTAGTGGTTTTGCAAAAGAAAAATTCCAGTCTTTGTAATTTATTTGTGAGATGTAGTGTCACTGTTAAACCCCAAAGCAACACCACCTGATGTCATGAAAGTTCCTGCAGCGACAGACAGCACTTCTTGCAATGAACTGACTAATTTCTGAGAAGCTCTGTATGATTCCTGGAAGCTCATAGTGCTGCTCAATTCACTTCCTATGTGCAGCTTTCACTGATTGTTCCTTGTGCAGCAGCTGTAAAACAAACAAAGCTGAAAGCAGAGAAGCTTGTGAATTGCAGGCACTACTGTACCTTAATGGCTCTGTGTGGAACCAGTGCCTTAGAAAGAGTTTGAAGCTATCACCTTTCCTTTTGGATAAAGCATAAAACTACCCAAGCTCTCCTGTAGTAATTACATTATCTACTTCTTAGCTTTTGAGCTGTAGAAATAATGACCAAAACCTGAGCTCTTCCAGTTAATTCAGTGTAGCTGTATAACTTCTGAAATTTCTGTTTTAGTAACACCAGCACTAGCTTGAATTATTTTGTACTTTGTGTTGGCTCTTAGACAGTTGCATTCTGAATGCTCAGAGGGATTTTGATTGAAAAGTTGCCCATGGCACTGCTGTGTTTGTGTTCTAATGCCTTTAAGAGAAAGCAATAATTTGAAATGTACGAGCAATGTTTCATAAGCTTCAGGTATGCTCACTCATTTTCGCTATGAAAATTCAGCCTGACACAAAGTCCTTAACTAGCCCTTCTGTTTATCCAATGCTACTGAAATTTGGCAGACTTCGGTCTCTTTTTTTCCTTTTCAGCAAAAAAAGTTCTGTTGTTACATTTTCTCCCTATTTTGCTCATTATAAGCATTGTTTTAGTCTCCTCTACACTATTACCTTATGCTCCTCTAAGTTAATATAAAAGGACTGACTAGGACTGAACACATTTTGTTGTGGGCTAATTGGCTGGCCTTGTGTCAACTCTGCTGCTCTTTCTGTCATCTAGAAAACTTCATTAACCTTGCATGGTAGTGCTATGGGTTGCCTTTGTTGCAAACTGCTGCCCCCCAAAAAAGCCAAACCAAAACCAAACCAAAAAAGCATGGTAGAAAAGCAACATAGAGATGTGGTCATGTGGAGAGGAAATGTCTATTTAAGGATAAATTTGGAAAGACTGGGTCAAAATGTGTCTTATAGCTACAAAAAGGGTTGTAAGACTTTATAAAGGGAAGATGATGAAAAAAAGATGAGTTATTCAGTGAATCATCATGAAAAAGGGTTAATTAAAAGCCTACTTTTAATAATGAACTAAAATACAGGCAATAATAATTGAAACTGGAAGTAGTTGAGTAACTAGAAACTGTTAGTGTTGGAGAACTTGCAGGACAGACAAGTTGAAAAGAGTCAGTATTGCACCTAGCTGGGCCTTTTAGGGGACTATCAAGAACATTTAACATATTACTCCGCTGCTGAAGTGGCAAGTTAAAATAAAACGAAGTACAAATGCAATAGAAATGTATGTATGACATAGGGATATTTCCATTTAACTGTGAGTGGGGCATTTTGTTTACATCTGGCCACTGGAGAAGTTTTGATAAATACAGATGATGTGATAGTAGGAAACAAAAGCCAGTGAAATTACCCAAGGTTTGTAGAGTGGGTTTTTACACTGAAGAGTGAGTTGTTTTCATTCTCACTGCAGCTGACACAGGAACTTGTTTTTTTTATTTTCTAGTTTTAGATATTGGCCATACAATATTAAGGATAACAGAACAATGGAGAAATACTGTCATGGATGTTCTCTGCTAATAGTTTCTTGAAGTAACTAGAGGGCAAGTAGGCAGAAGGTTGTCTGAATATCCTTGATTCTATTTCAGTAGATGAGTGTATGTGCTAGGTGATTAGTTGAATTCTTCTGAAGACCTGCATTTGGAGACTATTAATAAATAAAAGTAAGTTACACTGCTCTGGGGGCGTGGATGTTGAAAACATCATACACATTTTTCTGTCTTTCAGCTTGCTATGCTTAATCATTATCATTCTCTTAGCTACAATGTTTCAAGCTCAAGACCCTCTGCAGTGTACACAGCACTAATTATAACACCCTTGACTAATGTTTGTGTAAAATTTTATAATTATGTCAATATTGCATCATGCTGATTAAATGTGGTTTCATATATAGAGTATCTCACCTTAATTCATTCTTTTGCTGCTTTTCCCCTTAAAGTCCCAGTGTTAAACTTTCAGCAGTGATTATTAAAATATAAAATGTTTTTGCATGAGAAGAAAATTGGTTTCAGCTCTTCACGTTGAATAGCGATAATTTTGGTCACTACTTGAGCATGGACTGTGAGATGAACTATTTTAGAGGACTTAATATTTTTATTTCTTCATAAAACTATTATAATCTTCCTCTTCCTTGAATTATCTTCTGTAATGGGCCATACCAATGACTTCTTAAATGTCACTAAATTGATTTTTTCCCCCAATTTTTACATTTCTCTGGTTTAATTTCATTTTTTTCTCACTCAAATTTCTAATATTTTTACTCTAGTGATCTTTTCTTCCATACTCTGTATATTCACAATAAGCAGATGCTACCAGGCGCTAGATATTTCTATGTGGTCACTGTAGGCCCTAACCACACTTATACTCTTAAGTGGCAGTCCTAATATTCTGTGGCCACACATATGGATGTGAAACAAAACTTCACTACATTATCCAAGGCAGAAAGGCTGCATTAAACTGCTGCAGGAATAAGTTATATTTTAGTTGGTCCTGTGGAGACATTTCTATGAGAGTCAAAGGAGGTGAGCTGAGCATGAATGAATCTTTTGAAATTTTTTCTTATAAGAGATAGTTTGATGAGGGAAAGGCTACAGATACCTAAGTTTTACATGGAAAGATAGTTATACTGTGTTTCATGCACTTGTTTACTTTCTGTGAACCCATACATGACTTTTGAACAACTGGAAGTTGTCAAACTAGGCAAGGGGCTATTGGGAATAAAAGAATCATAGAATAGCCTGAGTTGGAAGGGCCCTTCTAAAGGTCATCTGGTTCAACCCCTTTGTTGTGGGCAGGGACAACTTCCACTAAATCAAGTTGCTTGTAGCCAGTCTTGTTTCTTTATGGTTAGATAAATGCAGGATGTCAGAACTACTGTTCGATAAAATGCTGACAAAACTGGAAAGCTGTGTCATGCTACCAGCACTCATTCCATGAGAACCTGCATGCCACCCCTTATTTCTTTGTAAGAATTTGATGAAGTTTTAGAGGGTGTATGGACTTAGTAGACATAACCTAACATATTCTCTCACTGAAAATATTACCCTCAGTAATATCTTCTCTCAGTCTTGAAAGGTTAAAAATTACCAAAATCTTCTAAGTAATTTTTCCCTTATTTTGTTTGGTGTCCTCATCTGTGGGATGGCTGAGTACTGGTTCACAGGGGTCACAAACAGTAAGGAAAGAAACCTAATTAGTTATTCAGTTAAAAATATTCAGGAATCTGAAAGAATACATTCACTTGTCAAAAATGCTTGAAATTCCCTGTTGACAGCAAGTCACAACACTGATGGAAATCTTATAATGTTTTGTTATTTTAGGATAAGAAACAAGACTTGCTAACTAGGGTTTGTTTACAGGTACTGATTTTTTAAAATCAGTATAATTTCCTACTAGAAGGAAAGTTATGCCCTCTAAGCTTCTTTCAGAGCAGTATAAATGAACTGTATATAGAGCATATATTCACATGTATATATGTATAGAGTAGTCTTCATTTTCTTGCCAGCCTATTCCACTCTTAAAATGATTTTACTGCAAGAGTCTATTATTCAGCCTACCTGTTTCTTTTTTTTTCATGTGTTCTCATTAATACATATTGAAAAGGGATAAAAGAAGGTATGCTGGGATATAATATGCAGGATTTTCTTCAGATCCTTTTCCCATTAATATTCAAGGAAAACCTGATTTTCTTTTTTTACATAAGAAAAATGTTAGGGTTTTTTTGGACATGATCCCATTTTTTCTTAGACTATTTGTGAAAGGCATTTTTGGTAGAAATTGAGAATACTTGCTTCTTGAAAATAAAACCTTTGCTCCTGGTGGTACAGAATAAAACAGAAATATTAAACTCCCTGCAGTGCAAGTAACACTAACCTATACATTAAACATACCTTGAGTATTAAAAAATATTAATAGTTTGCTTCCCTTACAAATGAAGATTTAATTATGCAGGATTTTTAATGAAGTTGTGACATGTTCCTGTAAATTTCCCAGCTGTAGTAATGTATTTTCATATTATTGTCACAGTGTGGCTACAAAAAAAAACCCCAAAAAAACTTTGAATAATTTAACCTCACTTTTATTTTTTTATTACTTGTTTTTGTCTTTCAGAAATGAATTCCTTTATTGCAAGAAATTGTGATTATTTATTGAGTCAGAAAGAAAACAGACTGATGTTCTCTTGGGTCTTCTGAACAACATGTAAGTTAAAGTTTTCTGTAACCCTGATTATGTCTTCAATTTAGGTAGTGATTATTATTTGATTTTACCAAAGAAACCATTGGTTGGAGATGTTTCTTAATGTATTTTTTTTTAGTACTGCAGCAGCTAAGTGATAGCTGTGACAGTGGCAGATTGTCTGAGGCAATACCTTTTGGAAGATATTTTTATCCCCTTGTTTTACTTTGCACATTAATATTCATCAGTTCTACTAATCATTTGTAAGCTTCACATAGGCAGGTTCATAGCAGCACAAGTTAAAATCCATCATAATTGTTAAGCAAAGCTCTGAAAAAAAAAATTTATGCAGGGCCTACCTGCTCAGCAAAATGATCTGGCACTAAGTAAGTGCCTTTATGTGTTAACTTCCCCCCAAAATAGCAGTATTGTGACCTTTTCTGGTAGGAACTGCAAAAACACAACTACACAGTGCCTGACAGAAGTGTAAAATCTGATTAAAATTTTCAGTTTGAAGGAGATGCTAAGTAGTATTAATGACCTTCTCTGACTTAATGCACTAGCACAGAAAGGGAGGCTAAAAAGTTTGTTTGCTCTTTCCCAGGGCGATGTGTGTGGAACAATGTCGCTGCTCAGTAGCAGCATGGTTTCTGGTATTGCTAGTGGAACAGCAGACTTAACTTTTCTCCTGTTGATGTTTGATTTCATTGCCATAAGCATTTCCTGACTGATAAAGGCACAGTTCTTGAGGTTCATGTTGGATCTCTATTATTTGTTTGACTTTTGAAAGGCTAATTGAATTCAGCTTTGTTCAAGGCATGGTCTTGGTCTTTTATGGACATAGACCTTTGTGAGGACAATTCATGGGATCTAGTGTTAGGAGACTGAATATCTGTCATCCAAATAGTCATGCACTCACACAGAAAGAGGACTTTGACATCCTGGTTTTCAGTGTTTTCAGTATGATTTCTGTCACTGTTTTTAGAAATACTCCAGTCCATGAGTAGAAGAGATGTCACTGGCTGAGGTGATGTGCCACATCTAGTGACTAGTCAGAACTTAAATGTGAGGTTTGACACAGAGCCAGCCAACTTGTCTTTGTTCAGGCGAACTTTCCAACTACTCTAAAAGTAAATTACCTAATATAAGATGGTATTTTCACAAATAAATTATCAGTTGAAGGAACGAGTGGTTTGAATGTGTTCAACTATAGGTGGGCATTCGCAAACTGGGATGCAAAAGCTATGCAATGGAAACTGCAGTGTGTCTGTGCTCTCTACTGAAAAAATGACAAGAAGCTGCAAAATGGGTCCCTGGACAAAAAAGTTCAAGATGTGCTGTCAAAATTCTTGTTTTAGCTGAGCAGTGGACACCAATGTTTGTAGCTTCCTAGAGGACTAGACAGGCAGAAAAATAAAAACTGGGCATCCCTTTATCAACATCTAGATAGTTTTTTTTCTGATTCATAAATACTTTCAGTGTCTTGATCAGAGGATTTAAGATCAAGGTTTTCATTTTTAGGGAATAAAATAGATTTTTCTTCATTGTGTTGGGAAGATGAATTCTTTCATTTGATATGTTCATTAGGTTTTGTGATAGAAGCCATCAATTTGAAATAAAAAATTAAATGTCTTAGTACCATTTTATTGTGCAGACTAAGAGTTAGGTTGCAGCTGACCTAAAATGACTGCATAGCTACTGGCTATAGCTGATCAGGAAGCCTCAACTTTCCATATGTGGCATCCCATCATTTACATTTTCTGCTATTACAATTTTATGATGCCTAGTCGTTCTCTCTGGTTTTTGGAAGACTCTTAGTCCCTGTTGTTGTAAAAGGTTAGCAAAAGCTGTGCTGCATGCAGTACTAATTTATTTACACCCTCCATCAGTCTAGGAGCTAACAAGACAACTAAACACACGTGCTGCAAGTGTTTGGTTTTCAGCACATGCAGCAATCAAAGGAATTCTGGCAGCCACAGGGTGGTGTCAGTACTAGTGAGAACTGATCTACATTTTCCAAGAGGTTTTTTTTTTCACATCAAAAAATGCAGATTAGTGGAAACTAAAATCTGTGTCCTCAGCCTTTCATCCCAACTGGCTTCCTGATAAACTTTAGGAATAACAGTGCTTTTCCACTGGTAGCTAATTAAACACAGTTCTCTCATGGAAGCTGTGTGACACAAAACCTGCAAGGTAGAAATTGGACTGTGCCCCTAGCTGGGGTGTTTCGGTGCTAGAAGTAGCTCCTAGGAACTCTGAAGGCCTGGAAGATGGGGTTGGGGCTGGAGCCCTCTGAGCTTTTAAAAGGCTTGTCTTGCTCAGGGTGCTTCACTTCGGGGGTTAACTCCCAGCTTCCAGACCAGCTTACAGGATTTTTAAGTACTTGACAGTACATTGAGGATCTGTGAACCTGTGGCAGCTCATGATAAGTTTTGTTTTTGTACTGCCTTAATATCTTTCATTTCCTAGAGTTCTGCCTGATTCAGTTTGTTCTGTTTGTTTTTTGTTATTTTTTAATCATTATTTGATAGAATAGAAATTCTGTTAGGAGTTTTATTGTTGTGTGATTTGGGGGGTGAAAATATAATCATCTGAGTAGTGCTGATAATAATCCAGGTACATAATGTTTTAAAGAGATTTCGTGTGGATATTGTTCTTCAGCTGAAAACATTGTTTGGGAATGATTGATTTAATTATTTTCTCCAGTTAGAGTCTTGGCTTCTAACTGGAAGCATTTTATTCTGTGTGGTTACTTGAGGCACTGTTATTTTCAATTCAACAGGAAATGGCTCTAAGTAAGAGCACAGAAATGAGTGACATTGTGTTAGGGGACTGCATATCTCAAAATACACAGCTTCAGCCTGCATGCAAAAACATCATTTAGCTGTGATAATAGAAATTAGATTTCAATCAGCATGTTCTTTGTTATTAATCCATTTTTCTCCTTTCATCTGAAGAGGTCCTAATAACATGTTAGACAAATCACACTCTTTAAAAGCTGATTTGAAATAAAAATGCTTTTGAAGCCTTGTGATTTTGGGCATGCATTTTGTAATAATAATATGTTTCCTTGCTGCTAATGTATTGACGCATACTTTTAAATGTGCACAATGTTGTTCTTTTATTTTGGTCCAAGTTTATTGTTAGGAATTAAATAATTCTTCCTATTTAAGCAAATTTGTGAGGAAACCATAGGAGGTACAGTAAGAACATTAGATTTGAACATCTAATAAAGACCTTAAGTTCTAAGGACTGGTTATTAATTTGGAAGGTTGAAGGCCTGAGGTTAGCTTTTCCCTTTGGGGGCAGAAGTGATGGTGTTTCAAGTAGTTATAAATCTTTGATGTTTCATCAGTTTCAATTACTGTCTGAAGGTGAGGAATTTGTAGCGTGTGCACCCAAGCAAACACTTCTGTGTGCGTTCTGCATAGGAGCACTCTCATATAGGTTAGGTTTTTATTGGAGTCTCAACTGCACAACTTTATACAGCTTCATTCTATCATTTTTTGTGATACAGAGAAAGACACTTATATGAAGGCTTTTGATAGGCTTCTGTGCTTATCATTTTGATTTCTAGGGCCAGCTTGAAGAACAAAAGAATTACTGCCAAAGATGTTGTGAATTTACTGCTAATTTAGTAACATTTCTCAGTTTCTTCTGCTGCTTTTAGTCTAGCAAATCTTAGCTACCTAATATCTCCTTTTAAAAACACCCTTTTGAGGTGGGAGGGGTTGGGGAGAGAAAACAATTCCCCTCTGTGAATGTGGCTATAATGCTCTATCTGAGCATACACTTCCTGACAGCCTCCCACCCAAAAGAGGGTGGTGTGCCCAAAATCCTTGTCTTAAAGACCTTAAAGGGGCCTCTCAGTATTATTGTCTGCTCTCCTACAATTTCGCTGCTTCTTGTAGGGTTGATTTCACCACACACCCTTTTTCTTTTACAGTCTTGCTTTTCAGCATCCTTCAAGCTGTGTGAGTGAAATTGGATTGGATGAGTAGGATCCTCTGGTCCATGCTGCCACAAATGAATTGACAGCCCATGGACAACAAAACCCCACTCAACCTGCAAAGGGTCCTCTGGATGAATGGGGCCAAGAGCTTGATATATTCCCTTCTCAAAATCCAGTAGCTTTAGGACCTCCTCATGTACCAGTGTCCAGTCACAAGAAGCTCTTTTTCTGGTTAAATCATAAAAAGCTCTTTTTCTGGTTAAATCATAAATCATTTCCATACGATGGAAAATAATTAGGAGAATGCTTCCTCCAAAGCCCCGGTAATAAGGGACATAACCAGGTGCATCTTTGGGCAATCTTTGTGTTTTTTCTGCTCTGGCCTCCTGTGGCCATCCTTCCTCAGGAGGTGCTTCTGCTCTGATAGCCACGCTTGGGCTATACTGGGCCTGCAGGGCAGGGGTGGGACCTTGCTTCCAGTGTGCTAGTGACTGACAGCTGCACTAGAGGCTCCAAAGGGGATGGGGTGTGGGGCAGAGCACTATTCCACCTTTGCTGAACTTGATCTGCCCCCTCCCACACATCCCGTAGTTGTTTTGAGCCAGACACAATTTTTTTTCAGTCTTTCTCAGACTGCTGAGGTACTGGGCTTATTAAAAATTAATTTGAAATGTATCAGGCATTAATGCCTGTGAGAAAGTATGGCTAATATTATTAGGTGTCTGAGCTGCTTCCACACACCCAAGGCAGAAAGTGAAAGAATAAAAAAAGGCTTTGCTTAGAATACATCAAAACCACATGCAGTTAATCTAGTTGTCATAAACCATCACGTATATTAAATGCAGTTTTTTATGTGCTTAAATTAAATTAACTTCATTTCTATTATTTCTATTCTTTATTTCTATTAAGTGTTTGCATTCCTTAGATACTTTCATCCTCATCAGCTTAGTACAATATTATTTATGCCATGAATCACATGTTAAATACGACTTTATTCACAAAACTGAAAAGCTCTACTGACTCATTTATAGGTTTTCAGTTTTCAGACTGCACATCTGGCTGACAGTAAAAT